CTGGGGGTGGCAGCTCTCCTGTCCTAGACGGTCACTTTCCTGTGCCTAGTGCGGAGGTCATGGACGAGGTCCACGATCTCTGCACTAGCCCAGGCGGGTGCCCGCCTTTTGCGGTCCCAGGCAAGCTCCCGGGACCCTCCAGCCTGGTCCCGGGAAGAGGGGGAGGGCTGGGGGGCATCAGGTGGCTGGCTCGAGCCGTGCCAGGGGCAGGGTCTGCTGGCTGGGTGCTGTCAGGCTTGCACCTGGCACGGGCACAGTAGCCAGCCCGGGCCCCTTTAAGGGCTCTGGGGCCGGGAGGGGGGCAGTAGAGTTTCCCTGGTGTTGGCCAGAGTGGCCACCAGGGAAAGCTGGGGAGGGCTAGCCTCCCACTAGTTCGAATTAAGGGGCTACACACCCCTTAATTCGAACTAGTTTTTTAGTCTGGATGCGTTAGTTCGAATTAACTTTGTAGTGTAGACATGCCCTATTAGACAAAGCCCTGAATATTCAGACTATCCCTATAAATTTGACACATCTGGTCACCCTACAGCTACCAAACCTGTACAAAATGCTCAGTCTTCCTGATCTATCATTAACAACTTGCGGGCCCGCTGATAAGGGGGGCAAAAGGGGCAATTGCCCTGGAGCCAGGAGATTCAAAGAGGCCTGGAGTTTCTGGAGTCTCACGACCCTTTGAATTGCCGCCAGAGTGCCGTTCCATAGAGTTCTGAGGAGTGGGGGAAGAGGGGCACACTTCAGTCTGGGCAGTCCTGAGGGCTGACTGCCCTGGACCCCACCCCTTCTGCCCTCCTCCTTTGGGGACACAGAACTGTCTCAGGGTCTGTGGTGGCTATTGGCCCCACTGACACTTTGCACACAGGCCTGCCGACAGGTGGGGGCAAATGGGGCAGTTGTCCAGGTCCCAACAATTCGAAGGGGCCCTGCCTCAGTAGCAGCAGTGGTGGCTGGAGCTCTTGTCCCCTTTGAAAACCTGCTGGAACACTGGTGCCCTCTGAATGCAGGGACACACCGTGGTCTAGGTGGCACTTAGGACTCGACCCTTCTGCCTGAGACCCCACCCCTTCCACGGGTGGAGCCAGTCCCTCACACCTTGTCCCGCTGCTTGTACATTAAAAGTTGACAAAGAGTGCTGTGAGTTTGAAACTTTAAAGATGATGCTTGGGTAGGTCACAAGTTAGCTCGACACTGAATTATTCAGAAGGCTTCTTTTCAGCCAGTGAAACAAGCCTTGTGTTCTTCACAGGAAAGTATCACCTGTTCATAAATAACTTGCTGATCTCTGATTTTCATATCAAAACAAAGCCTGTACCATGCAAAGTGCCAGAACCACCTTCATTCATCATGATGTAGCACCATGTGAGATAGGCAAGCCCTCACAGGTTTTTTTTTTTTAATGTAAGATTATTTCCATTGATACCTATGTTCTGGGGTAAAATATCCCCAGGTAAAATAAAAGAGGAGGATTTGAAATCATCTATTCTTTTTTAACATTTAATTATTGTTACATTAATGCAACTTTTTAATTTGCTATGTAGGGTGCAGCCACAATCTACCTTAAATTAAACAACGCCTAGCTCTTATATAGCACTTTTCATCAGTAGATTGCAAAGTGCTTCACACTCAGTTCTATATTTACCCTCCTGTGGCAGGGCGGTCCTTCCGTCCCCCTTCCTGGGGCTTAGGATCCTGGCACCTTGGCCTATCTGAGTCCATGGCATGCCCCGCATAACTGGAAACAAAAAGTCAATCACCGTCCCTTTAAGGCAGGGCTAGCCAGCCCAATGAGCCAAGTCACAAGTGTGGGGGCTGTGCCCTGGTAGGGGGACCCAAACCCACCCTACTCCACCGGTTCCCAGCCCAGGGCCCTGTAAGTGGCAGAACGGTCCACCACTCCCTGAGTGGGGAATCATGCCAAAATATGCTAAGGATCTCAGGCTGGGAGAGGCTGCTCCTGCACCCTCCCCAGGTCACTTCCCACTTGATCCAATGGGCTGACTTCCTACGTGGTAGCTGGGTCTTCTAACTTTTTGGGGACCACACTTCCCTTGGTGGTCTGCAGCGGTTACGTCCCAACCGGCATTGGAGCCTCCGCAGTTCTCCCCTTGGGTGGCTGGCTGCTGCTGTCCAGGAGCTCCAACCTGAGGTCCTTCTCCTCCAGCAGCCAGCCCAGACAGACTTTTATATCTGAGCTACAGTCTGAGCATGCCTGGCATGGCATGGGGGCAGGGATCTTTCATCCAGGGTCACCTGACTAAACCCTGTTAGTTCAGTGCAGGGCTGGTACACCCTGTCACCCCTCCCAAGACCCTTCTCAGGTAGGCAATGATTATTATAGAGGGAGCACTATCATTGAGCAGGAAATTCACCCTAACTCTCCAAATCATAGGCTAGTGCCCCAACTGCACACGCAACTCATCTGCCTGTCTATTTACTTGAGAGTCCCCGTTCTTGACTTTAACTGGACTTTTACTGTTTATCTCAATCATACAAATGCACTGGCAAATGTTACAGATGCCTACAGATTTGGTTGGGAAATGGACCTTTGGTTCACTAAATATATGGTCAGAATCCAGGTGTCTGAATCTGAAGTTAGATAAAGAGAACTTTAAGCTGAATTACATTATCTAATTAAAACAGCTTCTCCCTTCTAAATTAAAGAAATACTGTCTATGTGTTTTTAATGATGGTGTTAATAAAGTCAGCTTGGGCTCAGTAGACATGCTGGTAGTTTATCATGTGTCTGAAAGCCATCCTACATACATATTAAACAGATGAGCCACAAGGTCTGGGGCATAAGAATAACACAGCTGCCCTTAATGAAAACTGGTTTTTAATTCAGTCATTGATAAGCATACAGAGTCTCTCAGACTGAGAGATAGAGAGAGACAGAGAGAGAGAGAGAGAGAGAGGACTAGAAGACTAACCCAGTGTTGCCCAGGTCCAGTGTGAGGATGGGGTGGGGCAACAGAGGCCTTCCACTGGCATTCCCTGGGCCCGGGGAGGAGGAGGGCCACACAGGTCATCACTGACAGTGTTTCCCAGGCCCAGCCCATGGGGGAGGGAGGTTAGGGCACATGCTGGCCTCAGCAGTGCTCCCCAGCCTTGCCTAGGGAGTAACGGAGGACTGCACAGGTGCACCGGGTGTGGCCAGGCTGGAAAGCATGGTAGTGCTGGGGAGTGAGGCAGCCTGGGGTTCCTGCGGCAGGGAGACTGTGCTGCCTGGCCCCAGCATTGTTCCCATTGGCCATGACTATGGGGCCAGCAGGGCATTCCCCCTCTTCCCATTCTGGTCTGGGTCCAAGGTCCAGGGGGGAGAGGTTGGAGCAGAGGTGCCGCTTACCTAAGCCAGTGACTGGCAAAGGTGAGCCCCAACCCCAACTGGTCACTCCCGTCCTGGTGTGGCTGTTCCAGTGGCCATTCTGCAGTATAGCTATCCCCTGCATTTGCTGCCCTCAGTGGTCACTTTGCAACCTTTTTATGGAAAACAATCAAATTCCAGGCACAACCTGTTTTCCTGCCACAACCAAACTCTGACTTTGCTTTAAATTAAGATAAGAAGAAGCTGCACACCAAGTTTGCTGGTCCTTGCTGTTATGGTTTAGGAGGAGGAGTTCTTGATCAAACAGACTCTCAGACAGACAGACAGTCTGTCTCAGACAGACACACATCCAAATGTCTATATATGTAAAAAGAAAACAAACGACCAGAAAATTCAAATATGTATCAGGCTAGAGGGTGAGCAAGGGAAAGAAAGAGTTACTCACCTGTGCAGTAACATCTGCTCTTCAAGATGTGTGTCCCCGTGGGTGCTCCACCAAAGGTGTTGGGCTTGTCCCGGTGCCGCAGCTCGGAGAGTTTTCAGTAGCAGTAGCCCCTGGCAGGCCACGCATGCTCAGAAGCTGTCTCACACTGTTTGAGCCTTTTCTGCATCGTGCGGTCCAGCTCGCCAGTTCCTCCTAGCCAGAACCATCTGAAAAACAGAAAGAGCAGTTCCGAAGCAGGGAGGAGAGTGGGTCATGGAGCACCCACGAGGACACACAACTTGAATAACAGATGTTACTGCACCGAGTAAATAACTCTTTCTTCTTCTTTGAGTAGTGTCCCCATGGGTGCTCCACCAAACGTGAGTATGAAGCAGTAGCTCAGCGTTACTATTGTGCTTCGAAGTTAAGGTCTCTGCACTGTGAAGAATACTGCCTGAACCACCGCTCCATCTGTAGCTAGCATGGTACCAAAGGCATAATGCCTGGCAAAGGTCACGGTAGAAGACCAGGTAGCCGCACACATATGTCAAGCAATGGTACACCCTTGAGAAAAGCTGTGGAAGTAGCCATGCTTCTGGTCGAATGCACCTTTGATTTGCAAGGCAAGGATTTGTTACATAGAGAGTAACAGCAAGTGATGCAGGCTACAATGATAGTGGAGATGCATTGTGAAGAAAGTTGCTGGCCTTTAGAACGGTCCACCACAGATAACAGGAGATGCTGCAATTTTCAAAAGGGGCGTGTCCTCTCCAGATCAAATGCAAGCGCCCATCTCATGTCCAATGTATGTAGATGCACATCCTCTGCGGTGGAATGCGGTTTTGGGTAAAAGGTAGGTAAAGTTATCAGTTCATTTATATGGAAAGGCGAGTTCAGCCTTTCTACCAAAGGTTGGGTGACTACGCAGTGTCACTCCCCATTCTGTAAATAATGTATAGGAAAGATCTGCGGAGAGTGCTGCCAGCTCACTCACATGACGTGCGGATGTAATGGCAAGCAAAAACGTCACCTTCATAGTAAGAATATGCAGATCGCATGTCGCTAGTGGTTCAAACAAGGGATAAGTCGGCGTGTCCAGGACTAGGCCCAGATCCCAAGGCTCTGCAGGTGGTTTGCATGGAGGATATAGATTTGCGACCCCTTTGAGAAACCTTTTGGTCAACGGGTGAGTGAAGACTGAGCTGCCATCGATGGGGAGGGATGGAAGGTGGAAATTTCTGCCAAGTGGACCTTAAGTGAGGATATCACTAGTTATTCTGATTTTAGGCAGAGAATATGATCAAGACTTTTCTGGATGGATATAGATAGAGGATCGATATTTCTTGCCTCACACCAGGACTGAAACCAGTGCCATTTGTGAAGGTAGGTCTTTCTGGTGGTTTTGCACCTACTATGGATAAGGATGTCCATAACTGCATGAGAACAGGTAATTTCAGGGTCTTGAAGCCAATTATGAGCCATGCTGTCAAGTGCAATCAATCAATGCGAGGTGAAGGAGGGTGCCGTGCCGTCGTGACAGTAAGTTGTGTGACTGCGGCAGTTGTTGTGGTCATGATGCAGACATCTGCATTAATTGGGTCAGCCATGTCTGTCGGGGCCAAAATGGTGTTATCATTATCATCTTTATCCCATCTGTGTTTATTTTCTCTAGAACCCGTGGAATAAGTGGAATTGGGGAAAAGTGTACAGCAAGTGGTGTATTCCCCAATTGATAAGAAAGGCATCTCCCTGGGAAGCTGTGCAGATGCCTGCTCTCAAGCAGTAGAGGTAACACTTCTTCTTGTTCTGAGTGGCAAAAAGGTCCATGGCGGGATATTCCCAGTGTTCGAATAGGCTGCGAGCTACTTCGTCGAGCAGTTCCCACTGCGGGCTAAACTGAGATGAAAAACAAACTTTCAATTTAACTGTTATACTAATTTTCTTCTCAGGGTGGAGGTAGGAACTCATCCCAACTCCATCTGCGACCGTGGATGTGGACGGTTAGGGGGAACTGGCGGGCCGGACCGTGTGATGCAGAAAAGGCGTGAACGGTGCAAGATGGCTTCTGCGCATGCACGGTCCACCAGGGGCTACTGCTACAGAAAACTCTCCAAGCTGCGGTGCTGGGACGAGCCCGACACCTTTGGTGGAGCACCCACGAGGACACTACTCGAAGAAGAAATGGTTTTAGGAGAAGGTGTGTACTTTAAAAAAAAAAAATCTAGCACACTAGGCAATTTTTCTATAGTTTCTTAAGCTGCTGAATGTTTGTAAACATTGTTAGCCAAATTCATCTCTGCTGTAAATATGGTTTTTCTTCTATTATAAGATCTTCCTCTCCCATAAGCTCATTCCCTCACTTTTCTGAACCAGGATCAATTCTCTTTGGCATCTCCCGAGAGAAGAAACACAGCAGATAGGGCACGGCAAGAAGTAGCAAAGTGGCCTGTCCTAAACTGCTTATGGACTGCAGTTCTGACTTTGCACAGCACCAAATGCTATAACTACTCCTTGTCACATCTCTTTCCTCTTCCAGCTCCAGCTTTTCCCCTGTGTGTAGTTTGTGAGAAGCAGCAGCGTAGGGCTTTCATTGCACCTGCACTACACCTGAGATGACAGAATTCTTCCCTGGACCTTGATAGTTCATTTACAACCCCTACACACCACAGCAGCAGAGGGGAGACTTAGCCCAAAGATATTCAAAAAGAATTATGGGCCAGATCTAATACTGGCAACAGTGAATATAGCTCCCATTGGTGTCAGTATGTGCTTTGCACCAAGGCTGAGTCTGGCCCCATAACTGAAAAGGACAGCATTATTTGAGACAAAGCTATGCACAAAACTCAAGTTGACCTTGGCCTATCAGTTTTGGCTGCAACATGTCTGAAGTTGAAATGAGAGCTTATCTCGGAGCACTAAACATAGTGCACAAATGACTTTCTTAATTATTTATAGACCATTGTCCTTTCTAGTGTCAGTTTGGATACCCCAAATGTGCACTGTCAATGTTACTATAACTGTTACCTTATCTCACAATGATGGAAGAGTCCAAGAGGTAAAATATCTTGTTGTAAAGAGACTGAACAAGCACACACAATACATCTTCTCCCCTCATTGGGATGACCAGAAAAATAATGGGTTTGTTAATAGTAAATAAAAAGTGACCCCCTAACATTTTGAACCTGAACACACAGTAATAAGCCCTGCACAAAAAATGTGGTACACTCTAGTATGTGATTTCAGTTTATGACAGCACACAAGGAGGGCCATAAGATTAGAAACTTAAATCATTAGAAAAATGTGTTATGGTTGTACCATTCCCCATTTTCAGTACACTCGTGGAGCTCTGATAATTTCATGTTGTACTGTATTTATGGGAGAAACTATGATTTAGTTTCTGTATAAATAGGAAAGCCAAGGAATCATGAGGGGATGGGGTGTGCGTGAGAAAGTAATGAGGGACATTCATAAACCTGGCAGACTAAATATATCTGTAACTACTGTTTGGAGAGAGTGTTGGGGGATGTATTAAGGCAAACTTGGGGAACAGCTCAGAGCCAAGCACATGGTTACTCATGCACATGTTGAAACAGGTACTGAAAAACTTTTTAATATGTTTAATGCTATGGAAAAAAGATGAATATTTTATCAATCTATTAAATTAATAATATATTATTGACCCAGTAATATAACGGGTTATTGTTCAGGTACCATTTACCACTTCTCGTTTCTATTTGAACACTCAGACATGTTTTGCTAGGGCCTTTTAAAATCCGATAAGTCTCACAAATAAAATAAGGCACCCTCTTGCAAACTACATGGGCTCGAGAGCTCAAGAGGGAAATGGCTTCCATTTGAAATGTTGTCTCTTCACAGCTGGCTGGGGGGTGGGGAAGTTTGAACAGAATATTCTCTAGTCAATTTGCATTAGTGTATGAATAAGGTCCATGGCATAGGTGTGTGACAGTGTCCAAAATGTGCAGTGCACCAGAGACTGAACCAGGGATGCCCAGAGCAAAAAGTATGAGGTGCTACGGCATGAACTAAGTAGTCAAGACTTTGTAGCTGAGAGCTGTAACAACATATATGCTCTGTGTAGGCCACCCACAGGGGACAAAGAAGGTAACTGCCCCAGGCCCCAGTGATTCTAAAGGGCTCAGGGCTCCTGGCTGTTGTTACTACGGCAGCAGTGGCACCTGGAGTTGCAGGTCCTTTAAATCGTCTGGAATGCCACGTGGCATATACCAGGTGGTTCTCAGGGCTGGTAGGGATGGCACAGTGAAGTGCAGTCCAGGTGGCACTGCAGGCTGGCAGTCCCCAGCCGTGCCCCTTTTGCCAAAGGCCCTCACACCTTCTGGGAGTATGGAGTGAGCCCTGCCCCCCCCCCCATCTTTCCCACAGGCCTGGCTGGTTTGGCTCTTGGCTCCCCTGACTCTGTGGATTGGCACGGGGTGGTGGTGGAGGGTGATTTGTAACATGTTCAGCAGCAGCTTTCAGGTGTTCAGACATCATGTGTTCCACAGCAGACCTACTCCACTCAAACTGCCCCGTCACACATTTGTAGGGGTTGATGCCCTCCATTTTAATCAGTAAATGATATTTCAGAACTCTTGGTGGCCCCTGCTAAAAAACCATAATAGACTTTGGCCCCGGGGGAAGGGCATAGATAGATGAGAGAAGGATGAAGAAGAGAGGTGGATGGGAAGTAGCCCAAGGAGAAAGTAGCAAGGTTAAGTAATACAGGGCTCTGTAGCCCTGTATTTTCAGTATCATTTTATCAGAAGATTGTTGTGAGGACCAACTAGATAACTTCAAAGTCCTTTGAAGTTGAAAAGTTGCCTTGTAAATACTAAGAATTACCAACCATTGGGGAATGCAAATGAATATCAGATTGAGCAGGTGTCCCCTCGATCGGCCTCATTTTAATAATTAAAGGAAATAAGAAAGTAAATCCAAAATTCATTATTTCCCCTATTTTCCTTCCAATAAGACAACATTTTACCTTAATTATTTTTCTAATAATATTTTCCACTATATTTTGACATTTCCCAATCAGAACTAACATAGTGTGGACGCGTATTACTTTCTCTGAACACAATATCTGATCCAAGCAGAAAATACTACATCTGTCAATCAGTGCAGCAAGCTATAACAAGAGAGGAGCTGAATGGAAGATTTGGTATCCTGGCACCTTGTTTTACCCTAGAATTAATAATAATAATACTAAAAAATTTAAGTAACAAAAGTTAATGAGGAGTTTTATTTTCTTTCAGCAAAGGTCGGCAATCCCACGGCAGCAAATTAATCCCAATTAGTAATGATATTTTGTCTTGATACATCATGACACTTTTGATTTACCGGGTTTCCAGGATGCAGGCGGCAAATGTTAATGATTCAGTTTGCTGGGAATTTATAATCCTGCTCATTTCCCATTTGCTGATCAGTTGCGGCTCGTCAAGACTTGGCTGCTTCGACTAATGAACTGACGGCCTCACAGGAATAATGGTGTGTTCTGCAGACCTCATTTTTTTCATGCCATCTGCAGAAATGCAGGTTTCTCTATGAGAAAATATTCCTGGCAGCCAGGAAGGAGTGATTATGATCATATAAATGTCACTTGTAATTTGTATTTCACTTGTTTAATGGTGTTACCACTAAATGAAGGTTTCTGTGGAGAACAAAACTAATTATCTTAAATTCAGCATTTTTGGGGGATACTCTTGAAGGGACGCATACCTAGTTTTGCTTATTTCCTTAAAATATTCTGATGGCATGATGGATTTTTACATAATGATTTATCTGCCCATCTGGTCTAGTTTGAATTAGAGCTACACAGAATGTTTCTATTGAGGTTGGTAAAGGCAGCAAACACCACTTTTCTTGTACATACAAATTCAAAAATCTTTTAAATCTATTGAATATGCTGCACATCAGGTACTGGAAAAGCTTGAACACGTGTGGCAGTAAGAGCATTGCAACAGCTTAATTCTGAAGGTGGGATGTCGTCTCCTACCTGATGCTCACTGAGATAATGAGATAGACAAGCGCCAAAGCTGGTTTGATAAATTCTTTGGCTGTCCTTGTCAAAAGAAATGTCATCAAGATGCTCATCTACACTGCGGGCCATATTGTGTTCTCATTCAAGTCAGTCTTAAAACAGGAGTAACTTTTCACTGAAATCCATGGAGGCATATTAACAAACGCTGGGTACAAGCGAGAGAGGAATCAGATCTGTGAAACATCCTTTTTAATCATGTGATCTTAGAATAAGTCTAAAGGCCTAACTGGCAAAATAAATCAGCATAACTCGGTTGAAATAACTCCCTTTATGCCAATTTACACCAGCTAGGGATCTAGCTTTAGTTTCAAATAGTATGCTGCATTGATCCGTAGGTCCAGAGGGTTTACTCAAAACCTTCTCTAAATTGTCACCAAAAGGAAAAGCAGGAGGAGTGTGGTATTTATGGCACCTTTAGTTCATTAATAAATAGAGGAATTGCCTGCAGGCCTTCATATGTAACTTCTCCATATGTTGGCAAAATTAGATGGAAAATTTGCAGGGAAAATAAAATAAAAAATAAGTGCCTTTTTTTTACTACTTCTACAAAAGGAGAAAAAAAATCCCCTTTGCCTTTGAGTTTTACTTTTGGGAAAAGAAATTTCTTCCTAAATGTAGCCAAAATTTAGTTTATATAACCATGTACAGTATGGCAATTAATATGAAAATAATTATAAGCAATGTCCATATTTTGAGGATGACCTTGAATTTCAGCCCCTGTGCTTTCTGTACATCATGCAAAGCAGGCAACAGTTAAAATATCAATGACCTGACTCACCTTGGTCCTAGTCTGATACTCAGTTGACAGTTAAAAGACAGAAACAAGGACAGCCAACTAAAGAGAATGGGTTC